GTCATAAGGTACCATCTCTAACCACTAGACATCATGTTTTCACCAAAAAGTGTAATATTTTCAGCAGATGTTTCACAAGCTGGCTGGCTCCTTATAAACCCTGCTCTTCTTTCCGTACATCCCAAGTAGGTCTTTCAAGAGCTTCTTGCTCCTTTCTGCGCTGCAAGTTTTGTGTAAATTCCTGATTCCTTGTGCCTGGTTAGAGACACACAGGGAACGCAGCGAGGAGAAGCAGGACGGGAAAAAACATGCGTTCAGGCCACGGGGATGCTTCCCAGGCAGGGACAGCTGCTGGGTCTAAATCCAGATTAACCATCCTGGATCAGCCAGCGCCTGCCCAGCCTCTGGCAGTGCTGGAAAGCAGCGGTGCCTGCCCAGCCCCTCCTCAACAGCTGGAGGTCAGCGGAGTTGTCACCTCCCCACCTTCAGGTGCCATTAGGGATGTTAATCTGCAAAGCCACCCTAACTGCGCAGCTATAACTGAAAGCAAAGCCGGCTGCGAGGTGGCTGGGTTAACTAACTGCGGTGCGGTCTTTAACATCTCCCGTTAAATGTTTTGGAGGAACCTTTAAGATTTAAAAATAGCACCTTCCTGAGAATAGGCATTGCTACAAACAAACCTTTAAAATGTCAGTGTTTTCCAGAAAGCAAAATCTTGGATAAGAATGCATTTCACGGGGATCAAAAGGATCGATTTTGGCTGTTTCTGGAATAGGCAGAATGACATAAATGTGACCTAATATCCCCACTCTGCAGCAGCACCGTATGCCTGTGCACCATGGGACAGAGCCAGGGCCTCCGGTCAGGTATTTTCTCCAAAGGGCTGAGGGTTTGCTCAGCGCTGCACAAACTGGACACATCCTCCGCCGTTAGTTCAGTGCCACCTACAGTAGCAAGTGCAGAAGCTGTCAGACTCGGGAAACCAAAGGAAGAAATTCCTGCACGCTCCAGCAAAGTGCTGTCTAGGTCAAAACACCAAAGTGGCTTTTTAGTAACTTGTTTACTCATCCGTGTCGTGGAGGTCTGCGTAGGCGAGGAAAATGGGAAGGGAGCCTTTTGGTTGAAGGCTGGCAGCTGTCGCTGTGTCTGCTGGTGATGATCCTTCTAAACTTCCCCAAGTTATTTCTCTCTCTGACCTGCCCTGTTGTCTGCTATTTTTTGTGTATTATATGTACTCGCATTTCTTCCCAGGGTATAGATGGATCTGTATGAGGTGAGGAAAAGCCCGCCCTCAGGTTTGTGCCAGTGTTTTCGCTAACTAATTTTTTTCAGTCAGTAACTCTGAAATGCAAGAGAAGCACGAGGCAGTGCTCTAGATCTTCTAGATGTTTGAAATGCATTTAAAATGACAGTTCAGAAGAATTCTTTAAGTCATACCACTTGCTTGTTGGGGAAGTGTTTGCGTGGGAGCATGAACCTTTTCTCTGGAAAGATGTTCACAATTTTGGTGCATTTACAACCAAAAACACTTTTGAAATCCAAAGCTGCATTAATCCTTGGAAAAAGAAAGACCACCTCTATTCTGAGGCCATTCTGTCCTATGGAAATGGCCCATACTATGTTGGAAGATTTCAGTTTATGTTCTTTTTTTTTACTGGTATTTGTCGACTTCTTTATTTTCTTGCCCAAATTCTTAAGAAAGCTTCAAGCACTTCACCTACTTGTTTCTGTTCTGTTGAAGGATCAGTCTGAGTCCTGTTTGTTATCCAGTTATTTTCTGAAGGATGCCTTACGGACACGTGAAAAGTCTAAGCATCGCCAGCGAGTGCCCGTACGACTCTCCAGACACAGCATTGCTCTAGGCTAACCCTTTACGTGGTGTCCTGGTTTCAGCTGGGATAGAGTTCATTGTCTTCCTAGCAGCTGGTACAAGGTACAACTAGGAACCACAACACACGGGCAGATCCCAGAGCAAGCACTTGTTCCTCTAGCTCAGCAGAAGCTAAACAACTCCCAAATAAACGTGCTGAAGTGTGGAGCTGGTTAAAGGTACAATCTGTTGTCCCCTAACACAGATGTAGGGTGTATGTTTTAATTCTGGCACTGCTGAAGACACAGTTCATCCATAATGTGTTCAGCGCTACTGCTGGTTTAAAGTATCCCAGTTCCCCTTCCCCAACCAGTGTTTATTCCCTACCCTGTGTAATGCGACTTCAGTTGTGCTGGCACAAATTTGTGAGAGCCACATCATATGCCCCATCAGGGAACTGATCGGGTTTAACAAGGCACCCACAACAACAACAAAAAGCAAATGGGTGACACATGGGGTAGACATGGAAATGGCTGCGTCAGTGCAACCGAAGCAAGACTGCAATTACAGTGAGGGGAAATAACTTAGGCAAGAGTTGTTGCCAAAACACGTCATTAAACTGGCCTGTTCTGTCTTGGCCCACACCATCCTTGCCCTACTCCAGAGGAGCTTGAGTGTGTTCATACAGCTGAAGGCTCTCCTGACCCAGATGATGCGCCCGTGTTTATGAGAGCTGGCTGTAAGCACACCCAAGGCTTGCCACCCAAGCGGGACTGCTGCCGGTATGTAACATTCCCAGCTGACACATTTACACCAGCAAAACTTCATTACGTTGAGGTGACGTCCCAGGTACCCTCCATTCCAGTTTCCTAATGAAATATATTCACTAAACCCCATTTTCTTTCTACCCAGGGTCCACTTGTCCTGTCACAACCCCCATGAGATGTGATGTGCAGAGCCTCAACATCTCTCTCCTCTCCCCCCCCTTTTTTAATTTTCCAAGACTCTCTTACAGATTGTCAGATATGCAAAGTGCTTTACTGCCACCAAACATCTTCTTACCTACTAGATCATTTGCTGCATTTAAGTCACTGTTCAACACATAAACCAGATTTTACTAACGATAAGCTGCAGAATGCTACGTTCATTACTTTTGGATCTCACATGCAGGTAAACAGAGAACAGTTTAAATGTGCTTTAACAATTCAGCCCTCAAGTGCCACGATTTATGTTTTCAGAACACTGTGTCAAACAGATCCACAAGTGCCGGGTTTGTGTGTCATGGTGTAATTACCACCACTGCAAATACCTGCCCATCCTTTTCATAACTCCTCGGGATGCTAACAAAGCTTATCTTGTGGATGTGAATTTAGAAGTTGGGGATACTCAGCTGAAAGGATACCAAGAACTTTTATTTAACCACATCAAATATGCTTGCAAATAGGTAAATGCTCTCAAATCTATCTTATGGGTAGAAAAACTGCAGTACATGCAGTGTTTTTGACTTGCCTGGACAGCAGCTGCTGCATTAGAAATAAATTCCGCACTTCCCCATGCCCACCCCTGTCCGCAGCAGGGCCGAGCCCCCTCTCCTCCAAACCACGGTCGGTGCAGAACACCCCAAGAACGCCCTCCTGGCCGGCTGCCAGGGCTGTGGGGGGGTCCGAGGGGGGGGCCAGGGCCCCGCAGCCCAGGCCCGCAGCGACACCTGCCGGCGTGGGTCGTGTGTCCCCCCACGGAAGGGGGACATGCACAGGCCATGCACACACACAAACCTCGGGGGGGGGAGCGAGCCTTTGCCTGGGAAGGTCAGGGAAGGACAAGCTGTCAGGTGAACCAGCACGCTGGAGCAGCTGCACCACCACCACTGACCCAACAGCTTGCCTGCAGAGTCTGTCAGGGACAAATCCTTGAGCTTTGACACCCTCCCTCAATCCAAAACTTCTAAGCATGAACAAAACAGCTTCTGAGGAGAGAGGTCATAAGACTGCAAAACTGACTGAAGTATCAGATACAAGCTGCTCATGTCAGAAACGTTAAATACCACACAAGTGAACTGATTTCCTAGTGTTTGGAGCCCATTTCCTGCCAGTATTGCAATTCAAAACTTTATGAGCCAAACTTTAAAACAGATAAATGGATGGTATGATGTCAGAACACAAGAGATAAAATATTTTTCAAGCATCTCTACAAGAAAATCAGATAAGCAGATCATAAACATAATATTCTCCAGCATATGGTGGTAAATCTGAAATGCGAGGCACTGAACTAAACATTTTTTGAAAGCCTCGCAAAGCAGAGAAGCGGCAGCTGCACCCGCAGTCATGCGAACATGCTGCTTTTCCAGCAAGGGGCCTTCACCACCTCACAGGATAACTCCCAGCACTGAGATGTCAGATGCTGCTCTATGATAAAGCACTACCACTGCAGATATTTAAGTCCTTGGGAGACCATTCCATTGTTTTTACCATAGGGAAAGAATTAAAAAAACCCACATCCTGAATTTCCCATTCAGCTTCAGATGATCACTCTGTATCTTACAGACCTTCAGCAGCCAGCAAGCATATTCTTTTTAATTTCTTAAGGATGTGATTCTCTCTTTTCCCTCACTCAGATACTTTTCCAGAGCAAAAGAAGTAAATACCCTTATTAAACTTCTTCTGAAAGAAATACTTACACACGTTAATCATTTGTATCATACTGATACCTGACATCCCAAAGAAACTCACAGAACAACATCTTTATTTATACTGATCTCATCCATATAAAAATGTTCTTTTTATTTAAAGAAACTTCAGCTTTTAAGCCTGGATCATAATGTTTCTCATTTGACAGTTGCAACTGCCCTAACTGGAATGCACATTAAAGGAGATTCAATATAAAGCTAAGAAACAATTGCCATTTTTCTTAAAATAGGTGATGACGGTGTCATACAACCATTTTCCAGAAAACATTCAGGTTATTTCTTTCCATATACAGAGAGTTTGTTCTACCTGTTGCATTAAGACTTGTTACAACCATTTGTAAAGCTTATCAAAAGACAGTAGTTTCACTCCTTTAATATTGATCATATTATATGCATTAACTAACTCGCTATCTAGCAACTTACTCTGTGTTACATTAATCAAACTTCATCAAGAATAGAAACAAAAACTATCCAGGGATGCCAAAGAATTATATGTGGCAGTACAGAATGACAACAGAGTAAGAAAAAGTTAAAAGCACATGGATACAAAATAATTTTTTTTTGAAATCACTTTTTTTTTCCTTTAGAGGGTTTTGCAAATAAGGCAGGATCGATCTGGTCTCTAGACAGACCTCTCACTGAAAAAAGCCTTGCTGCTCTTTCCTTTAAAGTGCCTCCACATTTCAGTCCTAATGACATCAATTCCATCTTCAGTTTATCTAAACCCAGGGCTTCCATTTCAGCAGCAGAGTTGAATGCCAGTAGGTCTATTGGTTCCACCTCCTGCAAAGAGAGAAACATCCCATCAGACTATTATTATTTTCTTCCTGATTGGGGGGGGGAGAAACAAGTATAGACAGAATGCTTCATTTTACAGAAGACCTTCAATTAGGATTATCTCAAATTCCTAACTACTTAATAAAGCTGAGCAATGTCTCAATATGTATTACGTTGGATATTTTCATTATTAGCGGTACTTATGCTAGCCAGGCAAAGTATTACTGCATCATGTACAAGCAAATTGACGCTAGCTAGCATCGTAATTGTAGAACATGCAAATTTTAGCAGAAGTAACACACCCAAGAGCAGGGTAAATGCCCAGGTGAGCTTTGTACCTGGTGTCCAACTGTGCTGCTACAATTCTACTCCTCACAGTGCCTCTGCTAGCTAGTTAAAGGCTCAGTCTTACATGTCCAGACAAGCTGCAGATGTGCTTAGGCTTGCAATGTACACAGCCTCCAAGAGAGAAACACTGGTCATTTTAAATTATGAACAGTGCTGAACTTTAAAAATTATGCCACTACAATTAACACATTCTACCTGCAATAGAGGAATGCCGAAAAAGTAAAATAAAAAAAATAAGTGGCAATATTTAATCCTATTCCTCTGGAGACAAAATAGTCGACACTGTTTTTATCCCCACAGAAGTTAAGTACTCTTAAGAAAACTGAATTAAAAAGAAGAGCCCACCATCTCACCTAGCAGTTCAGTAGCTCAACCTTGGCTTCCAGAGGCACAGCAAAGCCAAAAGCCCCTTTTTAGCCCGATGTAGAATATAACCAGTACACCCCCAGCAGTAGCAGAAAGGAGGATGAATAGTTATTTCTAATGCAGTTACACTGTAATTATAGAAAAAGATATAAAAGCACCCTCTTTTTAGTAAGGTTAACCAAAAAGCAAGTTCTGAAATTCACCTCATCCTGCCACAAGAAAAGGGATTAAAATTTAATCTTAAAATGAAATTAGTATATTTGCAGAATAATCAAGGGTGAAAGGGACCTCTATAGATAGTCTAGTCCAAGCCCAGGGCCTTGTCCACACAAGAACATGGGCAAAGCCTGAATAACTAAAATGCTGGAATTACTAACACACTGAACATTAACACTAAACATTAACACACTAAAAAGGACACAAAAATCTAAGCCCATTTAGTTCAATACTTAAAAGCACATATTAGTCTTATGGTACGTATCATGGTGGAGTTATCAAAGAGACTTCAGAGCAAGTAATACCAGCAGTGGGAATGAGACCACTTCATTATAAACTCAGCAAAAACAATGCTAGCAGAATTAGAACCTTTGTCCTGCTAAGCATACAAAAAAAGACTGGTTGCCTCATTATTCTCATCCTACTTAAAAAAAACAAAAACAAAAAAATCCATCAAGGACTATTATAGAAATATTTCCAGCTGTAATAACAATCTGCCACAGCATTGGTGGAGTTTCCTGTTCTAGGAATAGACAGTCTCACAAATACTGAGCAAAAGGTAAACAGTGAAGAATGGTAAACATCCTGTTTAAATTTGCCAGCTCTAATATTACAGTAGATGGTAAGGTTCTAATTTATCAGATTACATCCTTGGTCTTTTTTCTATTTAACTGTATTAAACTTTCACTTATCAGAATTCAGTCACTGGCAGTAGCAGCTGATGGTAGACTTTCTGCTCAAGCTGAAAAAAGGCAGAAAATCCAAGCAACTCCCTAGCCTGAAAAAAAAGCCACATTTTGTTTTATTCCTAGAATAATCCTACATTCATTACCCCTAAAGAGTTTTAATAGTAATACTATGCAAGGAGCAATGAAGCACAAGTATTGGCGCCTTTTACTGCCAATTATTAGTTGGGTTTTCATCAATTCAGTGGGAAAAGCTATGCTCCCTCTTGGCTGGAAGATGGATCCAAAGCCTCTTCAGCAGAAGAATCCCAGCCATCCTCCTGTCAATCACCAGAGAAGGAACCTCATGGTCAGCACTGCTTCTGATCTGGCTGAGGGCTGCAACACCAACCCAAATTGCCAGCAGAGATAATGGTATGGCAACAGTACAGGCCTGCTTCCACCACAGACGTACCAGGTGATCCATTTTAAAACCACTCTTCCACCATCCTTTGCAGTTCAGATGAGGCCCATCATTTACACTCTCTAGTGAAGGAGCTGCTGCTTTCAGACTTTCGATGGTCAATGAAGAACCGAAGCTTGCAGCAGACTACTGAGGTTCTCTATGAACTAGACTCAAGTCTTTTTATAATAAAGACTGAGAAAGACTGATCAGCTGATTGGTTCAGGGGGCATCTACTTGGAACAACTTCTAATTTAAACACTGAGTCCAATTATAAACATTAAGGTCAAATTATGTTATAAATAAGATTAGTCAAATTGGACAGTGTTTGGTAATGTGTCAAAAAGAATCAGTAAGAGTCTTTCATCTTACAAAAGGGTTTTTTCCTTTCTTCCCCTCAATGAAGAATTTTGGGTCCAGAGTGTATCTATTTATGTAAAAGGAGGAAAAAAAACAACAAAAAACCTCAAGAGAAACATGGATCTCAGGAAAGACAATACTAGACAGCCAAGGGCAACTGCATCCTAGTAGAAACTCTAGGCTATTAAAATCTTAATTGTATGAAGTTCTTCCTTGACTGTCCTGGCTTCAGCTGGGATAGAGTTAACTGTCTTCCTAGTATCTGGTACAGTGCTATGTTTTGAGTTCAGTATGCAAAGAATGTTGATAACACTGGTGTTTTCAGTTGTTGCTAAGTAATGTTTAGTCTAAAGTCAAGGATTTTTCAGCTTCTCATGCCCAGCCAGCGAGAAAGCTGGAAGGGCACAAGAAGTTGGCACAGGACACAGCCAGGGCACCTGACCCAAACTGGCCAACAGGGTATTCCATACCATGGGATGTCCCATTTAGTATAGGAACGGGGAAGCGGGGGAGGGAATCGCCGCTCGGGGACTAGCTGGGTGTTGGTCGGCGGGTGGTGAGCAATTGCACTGCACATCATTTGTACATTCCAGTCCTTTTATGACTACTCTTTTAATTTTATTAGTGTTATCATTTTAGTTTCTTCTTTTCTGTTCTATTAAACCGTTCTTCTCTCAACCCACGAGTTTTACTTCTTTTCCCTATTTTCTCCCCCATCCCACTGGAAGGGGGGGAGTGAGTGAGCGGCTGTGTGGTGCTTAGTTGCTGGCTGAGGTTAAACCACGACATTGACCCATTCTACTTAGCATCTTTTAAGACAATGCTACCATACTACAATTCAGCTTTCTCTATGGAGACACTGTCAACCAAGAGCCTTCTTTGGCTGCAGTTTCCATTAACTTGCTACATTCCATTTTCACAAGTCCTACGATGAATCTTCAGGTAAGCTGTTTTTCCTTTTAACCTTGGGATTGTGCTCTGAATCAAACTCTGGAGATTCTCTTAGCTTATGGAGACCATGATTCTAATGCAAGCATGTACATCTAACACGCTGAAGTCATTGGATACAAATCCCCTCCCCTTTTCTGTGATCCACAAAGGGAAAACTGATTGAGTAAAAGCAGCTAAAGAAAAAGACATATCACATTTTGTACTGCTTCATACTTACTGTGCTCTGTGACTGGTTTGTTTCCTGTGCCTTAGAAGAAATATTTTCTTGCTCCTCTTCTTTTGGAGCTTGGGTTACCTCATTCTTTTCTTGGGCCTCTTCCTTCAGGGGCTTTGTCATTTTGCTGTTTTCTTCAGCTGGAACTTCAGCCTGCCCACCTGCGTGTGTCTCTCCTTGCAGATCTCTTCCAGTACCTTCTGGCTGCTCCAGTGGTTTCTCAGTTGCACTGGTAGTTGGACTATCATCTACCAAATCCAGAGAGCTGCTTGAACATTCATTTGAGTTTCCAGCATTTTCATTATATCTGCTGCCTGATGGACAACTTCCATCAGATGCATGTGGGGAATCATCTTCACTGTCATCCTCACAATCTGAACTGTCAGGATCATCCAATCCTTCCAATCCCAGCCTGGCATAAGCAGTACATTACAAATGAATATTAATCTATTTTCACTTTTTAAAAAATTATTTTTATTGTCACACTTTCTTTCCAAAACTCACTTCAGGGAGCTGCAGTGAACTACTGTAGCAGCTACTTAGGATAGTTTAGTAAATGGAAGAGCTGCTAAAACTGAACAGGACCCAACATCCCCGGAAAACAGGTATCTTTTTACAGCATTCCCAATACAGAAATGTGTGCTACCTATTGCTATTCCAAACACTGCTGGAATCATTAAGACTTCTCTTTCATGTCACATTAGGTGAAAAATGCCAGGAAAAAATAATAATCTTTCTTTAGTTCATTCTATATTTAATTCATTAATGAAAAAAAAAAAAAGAGACATGAGAGGTATACAGAATGTAACTGTATTAGTGGGGAGGGCAGGCAAAGGTGCCTGTTTTTGCAAATAAAGATCCTCTGCTCAGCTGGGACAGAATTAAATGAATGCAGAAAGATTTACTTTCAGTTCTCCAATTTAATCAGTTCAATTTAATTTTACTATTTAAGTCTACATCTCTGATAAGATGTTGCTTGCTTGTATGCACCTAACCTGTCATCCTGTTCAAGGCTTAATACTTACTACTCAAGAGAGTCATAATACTTACCAAAAACATTTTCTTTTTCGAGATTTTGTTCCATTCTTTCCAGGTTCACCTGGACGCTTCCGACTACTGCCACTTTCTGGTGACACCATTTTGCTTGAAGTGGCCTGCAATCCTTCAAAACAAAAGTTAAAAGTCTACTTCATCAGTACACAATTCACATATGTTGTAAATTCTACTTAACTTTTACTTTCAGATGCAATTTAAAACACCAGCTGAAAATAATCACTATTGGTGCACATTTACATAAACTCAAAACTTCAAAATAAACTCAGTAACAGCAAAAGCTTTCTTACACTGCTCTACTAAGGCACGGAGTCAATCTTAAAACTGGATTCTTGAACTGAACTCTCAGTTTCTACATCCCATTCAGCCTCAAGTTTCACTATCAAGCTGCCAGCAAGGGAACCCTGCATGGGTAACTAACTACAAAAAACAGTAAGTGAAACAAGGTATTTTGTAGTTAGATTCTATTTCTAGTAAGACCTATTTATATATTATCATTTCACTGAAACTTATTACATAATTCTTACAGCTGAACTAGCAACACTACCTTCACAGAATTTTGTTTTTATTATGATGACACTATAGCACAGCAAGATGAAGCATCACTTGTATCTGTGTTACATTGTTCCAAAGCAATTTAAGAAAAGCAGTAGCCAAAAAGGAAAAAAGAAGTCCAACAAATTTTACTGGAATTTAAATTTCATTCCATTGAAAGAGTTACTGTCAGCACCTTTTTTTTTTTAATTTCCATACCGGAGTGAGGCTACAGGGACTTTTAGTTTGCTTTATTTTTTGAGGAGAGAAGGTGAGGTTAAACTGCAATACCTTTAAGGACTGAATCTTCCAGTCGCTCAGCCATTTCATGACACTGCTGCTGGTAGTCCGGATTTGTGAAAAAGTGCTTTGGCTCCGCAAGTTTCCGCTGCAGCCTTTCCAAGCGCCTTTGCTCTTTTTCTGCTTCCCGTTCTGCTTGCTGCTTCACCCATTCAGCCATCCTGCAGGTGACAGAACCATGAAAATTAGAGTGTTTCCAGCATTTAATGTAATATCAGTTTGTTGCTTTGCAATTACTCAGTGCTTCTACCACCTGCTAGGATGGGAGACAATGGGAAAAGACAACTAACAACACCCAGGGGAATTACTGAAGGAATGTATAGGGATTCTGCTACAGAGAACAGAGTAAAGTTTATTTTGGAAGGCATAAACAGCAGTAAGGTCACATATCCCCAATACCATGGTCTTGCAGCTTCAGAGAGAACTGTGAGAATTCCAGATGAGAAATCTAAGAGGCACAGAACAGTCTCTCAGAAGCAGGCTGCAGTACAATCACACCTATTTTGCAATAATGGAATTAAAGTCAGAAGAATGCTGTTGGCTTCCAGTCCATCTGTGCTTAAGATTTCACTTGTGCTCTTTTTAGTATTCAAAATAAAATTTCATTGCTACAACAGCCTGTCATTTGACCTCTTTTGTTAACAGTGAACTACATGGTCAGTTTATTTTATAATTCTAGCTTCTAAGAAAATGCCTTACGCTTTTTCGTGATTGACATCTCGAAGTCTCCTTCCACTGAGATCTCGGCAAGCCTCTCTATTTGTTGTCTTTTCAATCTGAGCACCAAGTGCTCGCAGCATAGACCCAAACCCTGAGGAAAAAAGTAATCAGAATTAGCTAAACAGAAACAAATGAAGATGAGCTAGTACACAACAAAAGAATTAATTATGGAAAAAGAATACAGTGAATTCAACACTTCTCTCCCTTGATGCAACTGAAATAAAGTGTAAGTTGAAAGTTGCAACATGTTGGACAATTGTCATTGGGTGAAATGCTGAAACCCTAAATGAAAAAAAAGGTATCCAGCACTTACCACTCATCTCGTTTTTGTGCTCCTGATATCACACCAGATGAACTCCAGATTCACTAGAACCTGTGCAGCACTTCTAACATGAAAGCCTATTTCTGGACTCCCCCAGTGAAATGGTTTGCAACCTTTTTTCTCTCAAGATAACATTTTGGGTCCTTTCTAATTTAGCCAGGATATTCCTCTCCCTTAAGCCCCTGCCAAACTTAAATTCCCTTTTCAAAAACTCTAACAAAAAACAAAATAACTTTTTTAGGAGACAACCTTAGCTGCTTCATCAAGATGATCATGATATACAATGTTATGCTGGAGAGCCCCCCAAAATAGATTTCTACACACTCCTCAGCCACTAATTACTCATAGGCAAGACTGCTCATTTCTCTCACTCAGTCCCATCTTATTTTGTCCCCAGCTGGAGAAAGACACTTGTTTAACTACCTCAAAGAAACACAATGTGGATTAACATTAATATAATCCTTCAAGCAATTTGAAAGTGCCAAGCACTGTTTTTTTAACTAGAAGCTGGACAAATCTACACTTTTCAGTGCCCCAAAAAGTACCTTTAAGGAGTGTTACAAACAGTAACCAATCCAGACAGCCTACTGTATCATGAGGCAGAAAAAGTACTGTGTTCAGCTAATAAAACAAAGTGCTGCCATTAGTGAGGAGAACTTCTGTAACTCGTGAAACATGCCACTGAATTTTACATTGTGAAGTACGCGGGCCTAGCTGCTACACCTAGCCAGGTTATGTTCCCCAAAATCAACAGCAATGCATTCACTAAGGTGCTAAATTAGGTCTGATAATAAAATGCTCAGTTCTCTTCTAAACCTGCATAATCTCTATTCCCTTGAGATTACACAGTAAGTCTCAATAGTTCTGACCTGTGTTTGTTTCCCTGTTTTTATCAGGATTTTAAGTCATAAAGTCAAAACAAAAGGAACACTTTAGAAATCAGACAAAATCATTACAGAACAATTTTAAACTGACCCCAATGGCACATCAGCAACACAGAGTGAATCACAGAATGTGTATCCTGTGTCATCCCAGGATAACTGAAGCTGGTGGACAATAGGTGAGGAAGAAGCATCCTATACTATGAACTTCTACCACGTGTACCACTTTTAGGGCTCTTAAAGAAACCAAAATACCTCATAAGCTATTGCAACAATACTTATTTCCAGTTCTATCTAAAACTGAAGAAGGCAAAGTAAGATGAGCTGCAGTCTGATGTGAGGCTGCACAACTGTTCAGCATTTTAGCGCAACAGCTGGAAAAATGGATTAAAAAAGCAAACATACTGACTCCAATTACACTCAAATACTCTGCTAAACTTGTTTCACCCGTCATATTCCATTTTAGGGAATGTCCACATTGTCAGGGGCTGCATCATTTTATACGATTAATATACATCTTCAGCAACACAGTTAAAATATTTTGTCAATATAAGGAGTCTAGCTTAGACTGGATTTTTTAGTTCTTAGGCTACTGAGATCTTGGCATTTACATGCTTTTTCAAATAAGTGAAGACAAAATCAGTTAGGTCACATAACATACTCAAATCACAGACTATCTGTACCTGGAATATTTGTCCTAAGTGACCACGAATGAAACTTAGGAGCCGAAGAAGCCAGGTGCTTTTAAACACAATTTCAACTCTGAAGTCACTCTGATGCATGTCACAGATTTCTACTAATAGAGCTAAGCTGACCAGGGTGTGAAGAGGTACGCCAGCAAAGCTGTTAGCTGAACTGCAGCTTCCCTGGTCAACTCTCAGCTTCGCATGTCGACTTTGGTTTCAGCTCAGAGACGTTATATCACAGTCATCCACATTACAAGAGATCTGCTAATAGATTAGGACTGCTGCTATCAGTATAGACTACAGTATAACAAAAGTTTTTTAATTGGTAACAAGCAGTTAAGCAACAAACCTCCTTTTCCACCACAAAGTCTTGGTTCCAGACTATAAACGGCTCCATTCTGCAACACATCTTCATCATTAACCAGTCGTCCATTACATTTCACATACAAGCTTTCTTCAGGAATATTCTAAAAAAACAGCAAAATTGAGTCGTATAATTGACTTAAAATGAAACATTCTGACAAAAAAAGATCATTAAGGAGTTATGTTTCCCTCCTTCCTACAGGAACAGAAGGCAAGCAAAAATCAGACGATCTTAAAAGCATAAACATTCTCTGTGGTGCTTTTAGTTCCTGTTTACCAAAGAATTAAACCCAGTCTAAATCAGCTTGTAAACACGGATAGGGAAAAGCCATGCTACAGGAAAATTTACACTAAACGCTCAAACGCCGTATTAAAAACAGACGCCGCATTTTTTGAGCTGTAAAGAATTTAAGATTGATCTTTCATATACATAATAAAGATATGTAAGAGACTACAGGATTCTCTTACAGCCAACCCTCCTGCTCAGCTAAGCGACAGCAACGAGAAGTAGCGTGCCCGCGGTCGCGACATGCGACAGCCCCCTCAGCGCCCTGACGGCGAGCGGGACAGGGGCGAGGGCAGACATGAGGCCTGCTAGCCCCCCTCCGGTACCGGGACCACCATCCCCCCGCCCCGAAGCCTGAGGAGGGGACGCCAGCGGTTTCTCCCTCACCACCTTTCACTCACCAGCGCCCGAGCCCGATCGCGGAGGAGGCCGCGCACCGAACAACCGCCGGGGGGCAGCGGCCACGGCCGCGCCCGCGAAGCCAACGGCTCCCGCACCAGCACCGCCATTGCTCCACGGCGACGCCAACGGCCACTGCGCATGCGTCTGTGACGGCGGCGGCGCACGGTCAGGTGACGC